ATATGTAATACTGTTACAGGGTTATACCTGTTATAATTGTACACCATAGAGTTATAATATAAATATATGCTGTATACACACATCAGTAATATGTAATGGTGTTTTATGTTGTACTTTTCTTCTACTGATTGGTTAAATAAAGACGACAATGCCAGGCAGGGTGTAATGGGGGGAATTTCTTACATGGGCCTTTACTTAATTCTTCACGATTTTCAACTTTCGTAAAATATTTTAAGCGTTCACAGGCGATATTTTCTCCGGCTTTTGTTTGTTGTCCAATTTGAAAGTGACACAATTTTTTATCTCTCTATTTCAACCCTTTTATCACTCCTTCTTTCAGCCAGTTTCCTACTATGGGCACATGAATTTTGCCAAAGTGCTGTCCTGTGTGCATGGGGTTTGGTTAGGTGGTGGAGGTTTGGGTGCAAAGTCCAACTCAGTCTTCTACTATAAAGTGGCCTCAATGGCAACAGATGAAACCTGAATTGATTCTATGGAAAATGTATTTAACAACCCCCTAATAAAACAAAAGACACATATTTAAAAATTCTAAGGTGTTTTTATTGAAACAAATCATATCAACACAGATCAAAGTCTGCATTTACATCCAAATTGAACAAATTCTGACTCACAGCGCTTTGGTACGATTTGCTTGAGATTCAATTTGGAGGGCAACATTGACGTTTCGAGAACTCGCTCTCAAATTTAAGGAATAAAGACAAAAATATCATTTTTACCAGTCTTTAAAATTTTTAAACATCAAAGAGAAAGATCTGAAGAAAATTTAACTGTTCATTAATTAGTGTGCTGGGATTATTGGGAAGTAAACAAGTAAACATACAACTCGATTATGATTGTCATTTAATTAAGGTGATTTAATTTGTGCTAATAGTCAACTGTCAAGAGATTTGCTTAAATAGAAACACCTTGAGTTTTATTAAGATAATTCAAACCAAAGCCTTAAAGCTCTGATTAAAATCCAGATATAATTGTTGCATCATTTTCAGGTTCAATTTCAAAATCAGTTCCTATACTAGTGTGATTGTGAAGATGTGTTTTTTGTAACAAAACTAATCTTTTTAACTCTTGCCACTAGGTTTGTAATCTTTTTTAGAGAGTCCACATTTCTAATATGTTACAATAATGAAATTGAAATTTAGAAAGGTTAGAAGTTTCAAAATGTCCAAGAGCCAAGGGGTAAGGTCTCATTGCCACGCTCAGAGCTGTGTAGTGTAGTTGGCACTGAATAAAAGGCATTGATCTGAGTAAGATAATGTCAAACATCGCGTGTCATCTCTACATGACTGTATGCATTCAGAAAGACTAGGAGCACTAGTGATGTTGATGATTGGTTTAGGATAGAAATGGCACTGGCCAGCACGGTAAGATATAAAAGTGCCACAGTTGTCATCCTTAGCACAATCTTCTGCACATGTGGTTGATGAAACAAATCTAGGTGAGGTCAGTTGTACATATTCTTCCTGGTATGCCTCTGAAATATAAATTTGTATTGTATGGTAAATAATTTTTAGAGGTCAAGACAGTTCGGTCACTATAGTTGTAACTCTATGTTAAGAAACAGCTATCACAATTTAAATATTAAATATATTATGTATAATGAAATATTGTGATTTTATAATTTGATTATCTCAGCCCCTTCAAAATCACACCCTCTTCAAAATCACACCCTCTTCAAAATCACAACCCCTTCAAAATCACACCCCTTCAAAATCACAACCCCTTCAAAATCACAACCCCTTCAAAATCACACCCCTTCAAAATCACACCCCTTCAAAATCACAACCCCTTCAAAATCACACCCCTTCAAAATCACACCCCCTTTTAAATCTCACCCCTTCAAAATCGCTGGAATTTTTTAAGTTTTAGAATAAAACAACTTCTTTTTAATAATTTGAAATAATAGTACCAAAAAAATATACCAAAGAACTTTTATTTAGCAATAGAATTCTTGGAAGATCCTAGTTTACAGCAATCATCAATAGAGATCAGTTTGTTAGAATTTGTTACCCAAGGAGAAGTGTGCATGTGCATAAATGACCATGTCCCTATGACATGTTAATAGAATACATGGTGTTTGCAATGGCTTGCGCCACTGATATTCACAAAAACATAAAAAAAATTTCTTTGTAAACCATTCTGGCCCAGTGAAAACAGCGCAGTTTAAACGGTACCGGCCAGCCATACAGAGTCTGAACCGGGTACAGTTCACTTCAAGTGGGTCAATTTTTATGACAGTGTAAATGCAGCTATAATATTCATATTGATATAAGAATAAATCATTAAGATACTTCGGATATTATTTGTGTAAAATCTTTAAGATGAAGAATTCTTTATTTTATTTTTTTCTGAATGTAGTTTTAACAATTCAAAATTTTAGATTCTACAAGTCACATTACAGTGGGTTTAGCCTACAAATGAATTTTAGAATCCCTGTGAGTGCTGCATGTCATGGGATAGATGGGCTTCTAATTCTTACGAAATCTTGAACCCCCCTCGCAGGAAATGTCATGGATCAAGGAATCCAGATCCAACTGTGTCCACATAATGCAGCAAAGCACGGTGCAAGTTTCCTTAAGGTCTGGTTGCAGATCCCGGTGTCTGTAAACTGTTTTTACCACTCCATCTATCTCCATTATCAACACACAAGGTGGACACATCAGGTACCGACTTTCAGCCTCTATCTCATCTGTGCAGATCATGTGATCAGATAATATCATCGATATGATATTGCAATAACATGAAAGACATCCAAACATTCCAAGGTGCCTGATGTGGTGGTTTTCTGAGTATTATCTTTTGAATTAGTTCACTACTTTCTGTAAAGTTTCTTTATCTGTTCAGTATAGATGTCTTGTTTAGTGGGGTTTGTCCAGTTTTTTCAATTTAATTAGATAAATATATTCCAGAAGGGATGCTATTATTGGCCACAGTGTTTTATTCTTGTTTAGAATGTACATCTAAGTTTTATAGCTTAGATTTATTGAATTATAACCAGCGTGGTTACATATTTTATTAACTTCAGATCGAGGTTACAGGATGTTGATCAGAACATAGGCATTCGTTATGGTCGGACTCGCTTAACTAAATGGAGTCCTCATGGGTCTATCTTATGCAATTAGACTATCATTACACACAGGACAAATTTGTCACAGATAATTTAACAAATATTATTTTCAATAGTTTTATGCTATTTTCAAAAACAGTCAAAATAATTATGTAAAACCAATGACAAGACCCAAGAAGCAGTGATGAAACCTTATAAAAATCATAATGACAGTTGTCATTTCATTGCAGTTTTAGTTAAACCAGCCAACCTGATAGATTGAATTTGATAAATATCTTTAATTCTGTCTGCTAACTGTATATATTATAGATAAACAACACTGGTGGAACAAACTAAATTGTTAGTCACATATTCTATCTACACTATTTATTGCCCTTGACGTGAAAACGTATCAAAATATGTTTGTGATCACTATAGATACTACAGTTTTCATCTGATTTTATTGAAATTTAATTTTGAGATCTTGATCAATTTCAATTTTGACGATTTTATGTTAAATGGTTTTTGAGGTTTTGCCTTTGACTTGGGAAAAAAATGCATCAAAATTTGTTAGTGAATACAATAGAGATCACTACAGTTTTCATCCAATTTTAATGTAATTTTGGTGGTGTGATCATTTATCATGATGAGATTTTGATCAATTTTAATTTGACAATTTTTACGATGAACGTAATCTTAGTTATTACCCTTGACTAAGAAAAAAACGTGTCAACATTTTTTTGTGAATATAACAGAGTCAATGTTTTAAAGATATCATCTGATTTTAATTAAAATTGGATTGCTCATCAATAACGATGAAATCTTGGTTAAATTTGAATTTGACAATGTTTTTGTGAATATTTTTTGAGTTATTGCCCTTGAATAACGTAAAAGTTTGTTTTTAAACACAATAGGGACTACAGTCTTTTATATGACTTTAATGATACACAATTGTGTTGAATATGGCTTGTAAACACATTAGAGGATGAAATTGTGTTTGATGAAATCAACAATATCTTGTACAAATTAGATATTTGGTATGATTTGACACAGATTGGCGACCTCCTTTGATATACTGAAAATGTATCAGGGAAGTGGGTGTATCATTTGTTTGTATTGCTAGGACTGTGTTTTTTTTATTAATGTGTTATAAAATCATGATTATACATATCTTAATCTATTTCCTGTAGAATAGACAAAGGATTTCAGGAGTTGAAAATAGATCCTAGGCTTTTGTGTTCAACAATCATACTTTTTACACTTAATTCTTACTTGCCTAAAATATTGATAGTATTAAAATATTTTTGGAAGTAGGCCATTTTGTTTGTTTTCACTGCTTGCAATGTTTGTGTTTGTTTATGGAAATGATATCATCTGTCTGTTTATTTAATGAATTTTACAATTATGATACTTAAAGGTATACATGCATCATTTTTGGGGGTTGATTTAGGTCTTGAATATATGTAAATAGTCTTAACTGTGCTAAATCGCACAATACTGTGGAATATGAATGAACTGTAACAATGTATAACTTTATGATGTATATTGAAATATCAGTCAATATCAAGGGTTATATTTAACTGGGCTATAATATCAATATACTACAAATGGACTACTCGATGATGAGATGACATCCATGCGTAGATAAATTTGGAAACACTTGGATTTGAAGGCTCAAAGGCTCTTGATTTACTCCAGGTTATCTTCCTCCTGTCCCTTTAAAAACAGAGCCCCTTTATAAACAGAGCCCTTTCTTAAATGTTTTTTTTTTCTCCAATTTTTTCAAAGTAACCTTTTTTAAATTCAATTAATGATTTTAATACAAAAGAAAAACAAATCTGAGACTTTTAATTGTATTTTGTTTAAAAAGAACTTGAATTTATTAAATTTTTCTGTCAAACTGCAGTCCTAAAAGTATTTTGGATATTTTTTTTTTACAGGTTGTCCGTCAATTATTACTCCATTGAAAGACATCACCACATCAGACAGAACTAGCGTAACATTAGAATGTTACATCACTGGTATTCCTACGCCAGAAATAGTCTGGTATCTTAACAACAACCCTATAACTGACCTGTCTATCTATGCTGTATCGTACGACAGTGAAACTGGACGGGCTGCGTTAGTCATTGAGGATGTTACTGAAAGGTTAGAAGGTGTATTTCGATGTTTTTTAAAGAATGACGTCGGTGAGGCAGAAACCAGATGTATACTTTCTGTTAAAAGTAAGTAAAACTCTTTTCTGAACCCTTTTAAAATCACCTTCTTTAAACCTTACCAAATTTTACCTATTCCCTATTTTTGTGATTTTGCTTTCAGCCCTAAAGATTTTTTTTCTGCATAAAACAGTTTTATTTTTCTCTTTTCCAATTTCTTTATTAAAACTAAATATGTTTTGAAGATGGCATGTCTTTCTGAGAGTCCACATAGCTTACAAGCTAAATTTGGTATTTTGGTTTGTGGCATTTCAAAGAGTCCACATAGCTTACAAGCTATATTTGGTATTTTGGTTTGTCAACTTGGCATTTCAGAGAGTCCACATAGCTTGTAAGCTATATTTGGTATTTAGGTTTGTCAACTGGCATTTCAAAGAGTCCACATAGCTTACAAGCTATATTTGGTATTTTAGTTTGTCAACTGGCATTTCAAAGAGTCCACATAGCTTATAAGCTATATTTGGTATTTTAGTTTGTTGACTTGTCCACAATGCTTTATCACACCCTTTTTAATAACCATAAATATGTACCATAAAATGAACTGCCTGTTCTAAATCCCTTCTCTAAAAACGAAGCCTGAAAATAAACCTCTCAACCTTGCATGATGCCTATCCACCTTTCTTTCAGACACTCCCAAGCATGTTCCTTCATTCACTGAACCTTTGCATGATGTCAAAGTTTCTGAAGGTCATTCAGTGACCTTGACCTGTCGTGTTGCAGACGCTGAATCTGTCGTCTGGCAGAAAGATGGCGTTGTTCAGAAGAGCACAGAAGATTTTAAGCAGAGTTTTGATGGTGAAGAAGCAAAATTGGAACTGGATGAAGTTTTTCTGGATGATTTTGGAATTTATTCCTGCATTGCTAGGAATGATCTTGGAGAAGAAAGTAGTTCCTGTAAACTTAAAGTGACAGGTGAGTTTGAGATTTCTATTTTGTTCAGGCATACATGTCTAATCTACCGATGTTGTCAAGTTTCTATTGCTTTTGCATGTTGTCCACCGCTCTACCGACGGAAGACTCAATTCTACCGATTTTTTGTATTTTTCCAATGTCCAAATTCTCTACCATAAATCAACAAAATATCTATCATTACTTGTATCTTGATTGTTGGTAACACGCGTTAATCTCAGCAAGTGACACACTTTTTATAACAACATCCGGTAGATTCTACTTTCGCTTTTACAATAAATTTTTTGGTAGCCCTACTTTTACTAAAAATATTTATACTGTCGATCTGTGAGGTCTATATAATATCATTTCACCTTGACATTATTTTTGATTCAATAAATACTGAAGAATGACATTATGAAATTTTTTTGGGCCCCTAAATTTGAAAGATCAGGCACTATTTCTAGAATTATTTTACCTTGGTAGGCCTATCCCTAATTATAGATTTGTTAAAGTCAAAATCTTCTTGCCATCAGTTGTAAAAGAGAAGAGTGGATCAGTTGGTACTAGGTTATGAAAGAAGATCTATATAAAGATATATAAATACAACACAGTGATTTGGCTGATTGTCAAATATGGACAGGGAGCATGTTTTCGCATGAGTGGCCTGAAGCGTGACTGAGTGCATGCAAGAGGGTCAGTTTAGTTTGTCACCGGAGTGGTGGTCGGTTGAATTCATCTTGTATATAATTCATATGTTTTAATAAAATCTTAAATCATCAACCACTTTTCATATAGAGCTAGTATAATTTGTTCCATTTTGAACCAGATTCCTGTGTAAAAGTAGAGCTATAGTGTATTTAATTTTCAAGAGTTGTGTCCCATTAGTTGCTTTCTATTAACGGTAAAGGTGTGGTATTTGGGGAATTGATTTTAGACTTGAATATATGTATATAGTCTTCAAATAGTTCTAGAAATTAAGAATCACTTGATAACGTTACCTGTATGTGTAATGAAACGTTGTGTTGATAACGTTACCTGTATGTGTAATGAAACGTTGTGTTGATAACGTTACCTGTATGTGTAATGAAACGTTGTGTTCAATAATAAATAGAAGTCTATATCCATAAAAACTGTTGTTTCTTAATGTGATACTTCTAAATGTCTTATAAGGATTAGTTCTAGAAATGTACGAAATTCGCATAATTCCTTTTAAAATATCTCAAACTAGGAATTTTACTCACTATTTCTATATATGTCTTTTGTATGTATCACAGAGTATCTTAAATTGACAAGTCGTCATCAAAATGTCAATCAAACATGGATAATTCTGGACACACATGTATTTAAAGGCTCCAATTTCGAAAGTGATCACTATTATCCCATTCCTGAGACTAAAGTATGATTGGTCAAAGAAATGGTGCATCTGTCTCTTTAAGTTGAAATACCTTTAGATCTGTCCACCATTGCTCGTACACGATTTAAAAGTTAACAATTCCTGTCAAAGTTTGACCAGGTATGAACCTTCCTGCTAATGAACTACCCGTAATTTGAAAAATTTGAACAGGCATTAGTGTCTTTGTTCTTTAAAACATGTTCAATTTTTTAACACGTAAACACTCTAGAAGGCACAATTCTTCACACATACGCTGAAAATAAGTACCCTTGTTCACGTTCTTTTAGACTTATTCTTACTTGTTTCAAAGTTTGGTGATCGGAACAGGAAAAGATCAATTGGTCTGAGATAAATAACGTGTAGGTCTGATTGATCCGTTTTGAAATTTCACGATTTCTGTCTGGACAATGACAAACACATGCCAATGAATAAAAGGATACTACCTCGGAATGGACATAAAATTTAAAGTCTCAAAGATATTTTAGTTTGTAAGTCTATTGCGCGTTGTGTTTTAACTGACTCAGATCTTTCTTGAGTTATCTAGAAGATTTATAAAGACACTCAAATCTCTATATTTCAAAATGTTGAACATGATACTTTGTGATACAATTATTTTAGAAATTTTGGCTTGGTTAATTGTACTTGGAAAGAAAATCTCTTTTGTTTCAAACTCAACATTACTAATCATGTTTCTAATTTCACAGGATGATATTGTAGGTCTACTCATCTTCACCATGTCAAGCTATCACAGACTGCATCTAATACCTTGACTGCAATAACCTTTTTTCTTGTACCAAGAAAGTTTATAATGCTACAAATTGATTGGATTGTACGCTAGCGGATACATCCTATCATTGTCCTCAATTACATGTGCAACCAAATTGTTTACAGTCTTTCTTACAAGGTCTCCAATTGGCTGTATTCGCTAGCATATAATCCAATCAAATCACTGCATTACAAAACATATATGATAAAAGAAAGGTGGCTATTGCAGTCAAGGTATAAGATGCAGTTGTTAATAGCATGACATTGTGAAGATGATGTCTAATAGAATGGTTTAATAATGTAGAAAACATATGTTGTAAGAACTAGACTCCTGTTAGAGAGTGATTGACAGCTTCAATGTTTTAAAACTGGCCTCATATCATTATTCTTAACTTCAAAATTATCCCACCTAGATTTCATCTACAGGTTACTGTGATACAAACTGATGTAGCTAGTCTAGATTCCAACAAGCTATTATCTTGGTAGCTAACATAGATTCCAACAAGCTATTATCTTGGTAGGAACTGATTCCAACAAGCTATTATCTTGGTAGGAACTGATTCCAACAAGCTATTATCTTGGTAGGAACTGATTCCAACAAGCTATTATCTTGGTAGCTAACATAGATTCCAACAAGCTATTATCTTGGTAGCTAACATAGATTCCAACAAGCTATTATCTTGGTAGGAACTGATTCCAACAAGCTATTATCTTGGTAGGAACTGATTCCAACAAGCTATTATCTTGGTAGGAACTGATTCCAACAAGCTATTATCTTGGTAGCTAACATAGATTCCAACAAGCTATTATCTTGGTAGGAACTGATTCCAACAAGCTATTATCTTGGTAGGAACTGATTCCAACAAGGTATTATCTTGGTAGGAACTGATTCCAACAAGCTATTATCTTGGTAGGAACTGATTCCAACAAGCTATTATCTTGGTAGGAACTGATTCCAACAAGCTATTATCTTGGTAGGAACTGATTCCAACAAGCTATTATCTTGGTAGGAACTGATTCCAACAAGGTATTATCTTGGTAGGAACTGATTCCAACAAGCTATTATCTTGGTAGCTAACATAGATTCCAACAAGCTATTATCTTACTTGGTTTATACCATTTTGTAAGTTTTGTTCACTCTCATCTAGATTTCATCAATTGGTTTATCATATTTTGTAAGTTATCTTCATTCCGATTTAGAATTGATCTATAGATTACCTAGTTTGGTGTATAACATTTTGTATGTTAAATTCAAAATAAGCTGT